TGGGAGTCTCAGAGATTAACACTGCACCCTGTGGGAGTCTCAGTGATTAACATTGAACCCTGTGGGAGTCTCAGTGATTAACACTGAACCCTATGGGAATCTCACTGATTAACACTGAACCCTGTGGGAGTCTCAGTGATTAACACTGAACCCTGTGGGAGTCTCAGTGATTAACACTGACCCTATGGGAGTCTCAGTGATTAATACTGTACCCTGTGGGAGTCTCAGTGATTAACACTGAACCCTGTGGGAGTCTCAGTGATAAACACTTAACCCTGTGGGAGTCTCAGTGATTAACACTGAACCCTGTGGGAGTCTCAGTGATTAACACTAAACCCTGTGGGAGTCTCAGTAATTAACACTGAACCCTGTGGGAGTCTCAGTGATTAACACTGAACCCTATGGGAGTCTCAGTGATTAACACTGAACCTTGTGGGAGTCTCAGTGATTAACACTGATCTCTGTGGGAGTCTCAGTGATTAACATTGAACCCTGTGGGAGTCTCAGAGATTAACACTGCACCCTGTGGGAGTCTCAGTGATTAACATTGAACCCTGTGGGAGTCTCAGTGATTAACACTGAACCCTGTGGGAGTCTCAGTGATTAATACTGTACCCTGTGGGAGTCTCAGTGATTAACACTGAACCCTGTGGGAGTCTCAGTGATTAACACTGAACCCTGTGGGAGTCTCAGTGATTAACACTGAACCCTGTGGGAGTCTCAGTGATTAACACTTAACCCTGTGGGAGTCTCAGTGATTAACACTGCACCCTGTGGGAGTCTCAGTGATTAACTCTGAACCCTGTGGGAGTCTCACTGATTAACACTGAACCCTGTGGGAGTCTCAGTGATTAACACTGAACCCTGTGGGAGTCTCAGTGATTAACACTGAACCCTGTGGGAGTCTCACTGATTAACACTGAACCCTGTGGGAGTCTCACTGATTAACACTGAACCCTGTGGGAGTCTCAGTGATTAACACTGAACCCTGTGGGAGTCTCAGTGGTTAACACTGAACCCTGTGGGAGTCTCAGTGATTAACACTGAACCCTGTGGGAGTCTCAGTGATTAACACTGAGCCCTGTGGGAGTCTCAGTGATTAACACTGAACCCTGTGGGAGTGTCAGTGATTAACACTGAACCCTGTGGGAGTCTCAATGATTAACACTGAACCCTGTGGGAGTCTCAATGATTAACACTGAACCCTGTGGGAGTCTCAGTGATTAACACTGAACCCTGTGGGAGTCTCAGTGATTAACACTGCACCCTATGGGAGTCTCAGTGATTAACACTGAACCCTGTGGGAGTCTCAGTGATTAACACTGAACCCTGTGGGAGTCCCAGTGATTAACACTGAACCCTGTGGGAGTCTCAGTGATTAACACTGAACCCTGTGGGAGTCTCAGTGATTAACACTGAACCCTGTGGGAGTCTCAGTGATTAACACTGAACCCTGTGGGAGTCTCACTGATTAACACTGAACCCTGTGGGAGTCTCAGTGATTAACACTGAACCCTGTGGGAGTCTCAGTGATTAACACTGAACCCTTTGGGAGTCTCAGTGATTAACACTGAACCCTGTGGGAGTCTCAGTGATTAACACTGAACCCTGTGGGAGTCTCACTGATTAACACTGAACCCTGTGGGAGTTTCACTGATTAACACTGAACCCTGTGGGATTCTCAGTGATTAACACTGCACCCTGTGGGAGTCTCAGTGATTAACACCGAGCCCTGTGGGAGTCTCAATGATTAACACTGAACCCTGTGGGAGTCTCAATGATTAACACTGAACCCTGTGGGAGTCTCAGTGATTAACACTGAACCCTGTGGGAGTCTCATTGATTAACACTGAACCCTGTGGGAGTCTCAGTGATTAACACTGAACCCTGTGGGAGTCTCAGTGATTAACACTGAACCCTGTGGGAGTCTCAGTGATTAACACTGATCCCTATGGGAGTCTCACTGATTAACACTGAACCCTGTGGGAGTCTCAGTGATTAACACTGAACCCTGTGGGAGTCTCAGTGATTAACACTGAACCCTGTGGGAGTCTCAGTGATTAACACTGAGCCCTGTGGGAGTCTCAGTGATTAACACTGCACCCTGTGGGAGTCTCAGAGATTAACACTGAACCCTGTGGGAGTCTCAGTGATTAACACTGAACCCTGTGGGATTCTCAGTGATTTACACTGAACCCTGTGGGAGTCTCAATGATTAACACTGAACCCTATGAGAGTCTCAGAGATTAACACTGAACCCTGTGGGAGTCTCAGTGATTAACACTGAACCCTATGAGAGTCTCAGAGATTAACACTGAACCCTGTGGGAGTCTCAGAGATTTACACTGAACCCTATGAGAGTCTCAGAGATTAACACTGAACCCTGTGGGAGTCTCAGTGATTAACACTGAACCCTGTGGGATTCTCAGTGATTTACACTGAACCCTGTGGGAGTCTCAGTGATTAACACTGAACCCTGTGTGGGTCTCAGTGATTAACACTGAACCCTGTGGGAGTCTCAGTGATTAACAGTGAACCCTGTGGGAGTCTCAGAGATTAACTCTGAACCCTGTGGGAGTCTCAGTGATTAACACTGAACCCTATGGGAGTCTCAGTGATTAACACTGAACCCTGTGGGAGTCTCAGTGATTAACACTGAACCTATGGGAGTCTCAGTGATTAACTCTGAACCCTGTGGGAGTCTCAGTGATTAACACTGAACCCTATGGGAGTCTCAGTGATTAACACTGAACCCTATGGGAGTCTCAGTGATTAACACTGCACCCTGTGGGAGTCTCAGTGATTAACACTGAGCCCTGTGGGAGTCTCAGTGATTAACACTGAACCCTGTGGGAGTCTCAGTGATTAACACTGAACCCTGTGGGAGTCTCACTGATTAACACTGAGCCCTGTGGGAGTCTCAGTGATTAACACTGAACCCTGTGGGAGTCTCAGTGATTAATACTGAACCCTGTGGGAGTCTCAGTGATTAATAGTGAACCCTGTGGGAGTCTCAGTGATTAACACTGAACCCTGTGGGATTCTCAGTGATTTACACTGAACCCTGTGGGAGTCTCAGTGATTAACACTGAACCCTATGAGAGTCTCAGAGATTAACACTGAACCCTGTGGGAGTCTCAGTGATTAACACTGAACCCTATGAGAGTCTCAGAGATTAACACTGAACCCTGTGGGAGTCTCAGGGATTAACACTGAGCCCTGTGGGAGTCTCAGTGATTAACACTGAACCCTGTGGGAGTCTCAGTGATTAACACTGAACCCTGTGGGAGTCTCAGTGATTAACACTGAACCCTATGGGAGTCTCAGTGATTAACACTGAACCCTGTGGGAGTCTCAGTGATTAACACTGAACCCTGTGGGAGTCTCAGTGATTAACACTGAACCCTATGGGAGTCTCACTGATTAACACTGAACCCTGTGGGAGTCTCACTGTTTAACACTGATCCCTCTGGGAGTCTCACTGATTAACACTGAACCCTGTGGGAGTCTCAGTGATTAACACTGAACCCTGTGGGAGTCTCACTGATTAACACTGAACCCTGTGGGAGTCTCAGTGATTAACACTGAACCCTGTGGGAGTCTCAGTGATTAACACTGAACCCTATGGGAGTCTCAGTGATTAACACTGAACCCTGTGGGAGTCTCACTGATTAACACTGAACCCTGTGGGAGTCTCACTGATTAACACTGAACCCTGTGGGAGTCTCACTGATTAACACTGCACCCTGTGGGAGTCTCACTGATTAACACTGAACCTATGGGAGTCTCAGTGATTAACACTGCACCCTGTGGGAGTCTCAGTGATTAACACTGAGCCCTGTGGGAGTCTCAGTGATTAACACTGAACCCTGTGGGAGTCTCAGTGATTAGCACTGAACCCTGTGGGAGTCTCACTGATTAACACTGAGCCCTGTGGGAGTCTCAGTGATTAACACTGAACCCTGTGGGAGTCTCAGTGATTAATACTGAACCCTGTGGGAGTCTCAGTGATTAATAGTGAACCCTGTGGGAGTCTCATTGATTAACACTGAACCCTGTGGGATTCTCAGTGATTTACACTGAACCCTGTGGGAGTCTCAGTGATTAACACTGAACCCTATGAGAGTCTCAGAGATTAACACTGAACCCTGTGGGAGTCTCAGTGATTAACACTGAACCCTATGAGAGTCTCAGAGATTAACACTGAACCCTGTGGGAGTCTCAGAGATTAACACTGAGCCCTGTGGGAGTCTCAGTGATTAACACTGAACCCTGTGGGAGTCTCAGTGATTAACACTGAACCCTGTGGGAGTCTCAGTGATTAACACTGAACCCTATGGGAGTCTCAGTGATTAACACTGAACCCTGTGGGAGTCTCAGTGATTAACACTGAACCCTGTGGGAGTCTCAGTGATTAACACTGAACCCTATGGGAGTCTCACTGATTAACACTGAACCCTGTGGGAGTCTCACTGATTAACACTGATCCCTCTGGGAGTCTCACTGATTAACACTGAACCCTGTGGGAGTCTCAGTGATTAACACTGAACCCTGTGGGAGTCTCACTGATTAACACTGAACCCTGTGGGAGTCTCGGTGATTAACACTGAACCCTGTGGGAGTCTCAGTGATTAACACTGAACCCTATGGGAGTCTCAGTGATTTACACTGAACCCTGTGGGAGTCTCACTGATTAACACTGAACCCTGTGGGAGTCTCACTGATTAACACTGAACCCTGTGGGAGTCTCACTGATTAACACTGAACCCTGTGGGAGTCTCACTGATTAACACTGAACCCTGTGGGAGTCTCACTGATTAACACTGAACCCTGTGGGAGTCTCACTGATTAACACTGAACCCTGTGGGAGTCTCACTGATTAACACTGAACCCTGTGGGAGTCTCAGTGATTAACATTGAACTCTATAGGAGTCTCACTGATTAACACTGAACCCTGTGGGAGTCTCAGCCTCTCTGTCTCCCTCTGTTGGTTGCTGCAGATATCAACGCGCCAAAGAAATGCCGCGCTCGCTACGGCCTGGATCAGCAGAACAACTGGTGTGGTCCCTGCAGGTGTGTAGCCTCGGTACACACACACACAGACACATACACACAGACACACACACAGACACATACACACAGACACATACACACAGACACATACACACAGACACACACAGACACACACAGACACATACACACAGACACATACACACAGACACATACACACAGACAGACAACAACAACCGCCATTCGCCACTAAGTGGCGGTGACGTCACCACGACGCTTATGCCAGGCTATGTGCACCGTGAGGCCACGTGAAGTGTCGAATCGCCCGCTGGCAGAAGGTCACTGGGCAGACCCAGGTGCCACGGGTTGACTGACTGAGATGACTGGCTGATGCACCACCTGTGCCCCCTACTGTGCCAACCTGCTGTGCTTTAGCCACCCGGCGCTCCGCTCGTTGTTGTGAGCGTCGCTCCTCCGCCCTCCGTTGTTGTTGGAGGGCGACTGCCTCCAACTGCCCAGTAGCATCCTTCACGAGCCTCCTCCACAGAGGCCGATCTTGACACCGCTGGTACCAGTCATCGGCAAGTCCACTCAGCCGGCAAAACAACCCCCTACCTCCTCGCGGTGCCGGACGGGCAACTCTGTCGTGGATAGCGCTGTGGGGGGAGATCCAATTTTGATTGGCTCCTCCCCTCATGGCATATGTGTCCACCACAGGGGCTAAACGGGGGCTCTGGACGGGTGCGAGGGGCTGGTAACCCCTTCACCTTCAATTAATTACCACGAAACCACGAATTAAGCTGACAGACAGACACATACACACAGACACACACACAGACACACACACACAGACACACACACACACAGACACATACACACAGACACACACACAGACACATACACACAGACACATACACACAGTCACATACACACAGACACATACACACAGACACACACACAGTCACATACACACAGACACATACACACAGACACATACACACAGACACACACAGACACATACACAGACACACACACAGACACACACACAGACACACACACAGACACACACACATACACACAGACACACACACACACCTACACACCTACACACAGACACACACACATACACACACATACACACACACACACCTACACAGAGACACACACATAAACACACACACACAGATACACACACACACATAAACACAGACACACACAGATTTGCAGGATTCAGCCTCGATACAAAGACCCAGGGTGGTGATAATGGAGGTCGTGGTGATTGTGGAGGTGGCGGTGATGGTGGTGGTGATGGTGGTGGTGATGGTGGTGGTGATGGTGGTGGTGATGGTGGTGGTGATTGTGGAGGTGGTGGTGATGGTGGTGGTGATGGTGATGGTGATTGTGGAGGTGATGGTGGTGGTGATGGTGGTGATAGTGGTGGTGGTGGTGGTGATGGTGGTGGTGATGGTGGTGGAAGTGGTGATTGTGGAGGTGGTGGTGATGGTGGTGGTGATGGTGGAGGTGATGGTAATGGTGGTGGTGGTGGTGGTGGTGATGGTGGTGGTGATGGTGGTGGTGATGATGGTGGTGATAGTGGTGGTGATGGTGATGGTGGTGATAGTGGAGGTCGTGGTGATTGTAGAGGTGGTGGTGATGGTGGAGGTGGTGATGGTGGAGGTGGTGATGGTGGTGATAGTGGAGGTCGTGGTGATTGTGGAGGTGTTGGTGGTGATCGTGGTGGTGATGGTGGAGGTGGTGATGGTGGTGATGGTGGTGGTGGTGATCGTGGTGGTGATGGTGGAGGTGGTGATGGTGGAGGTGGTGATGGTGGAGGTGGTGATAGTGGAGGTCGTGGTGATGGTGTAGGCGGTGATGGTGGAGATGGTGGTGATGGTGGTGGTGGTGATGGTGGAGGTCTTGATGCTGGAGATAGTGGAGGTGGTGATGGTGGAGATGGTGGTGGTGATGGTGGTGATTGTGGTGGTGGTGATGGTGGAGGTCTTGATGGTGGTGATGGTGGCGGTGAGGTGGTGATGTTGGTGGTGAGGTGGTGATGGTGGTGGTGATGGTGAAGGTCTTGATGGTGGTGATGGTGGCGGTGAGGTGGACTGTGTTGAGAAGCTCAGATGGGAGACAATGCCTCTGCATGTGAGTGTGGACGTGTGTACACGTGTGTGTGCACGTGTGTGTGTGTACACGTGTGTACACGTGTGTGTGTGTGTGTGTACACGTGTGTACACGTGTGTGTGTGTGTGCACGTGTGTGTACACGTGTGTGTGTGCACGTGTGTGTGTGTGTGTGTGCACGTGTGTGAACACGTGTGTGTGTACACGTGTGTGTGTGCACGTGTGTCTGTGTGTGTGCACGTGTGTGTGTGTGTACACGTGTGTGTGTGTACACGTGTGTACACGTGTGTGTGTACACGTGTGTGTGTACACGTGTGTGTGTGTGCACGTGTGTGTGTGTGTGTGTACACGTGTGTGTGTACACGTGTGTGTGCACGTGTGTGTGTGCACGTGTGTGTGTGTACACGTGTGTGTGTACACGTGTGTGTGTGTGCACGTGTGTGTGTGTGCACGTGTGTGTGTGTGTGCACGTGTGTGTGTGTGTGCACGTGTGTGTGTGTGCACGTGTGTGTGTGCACGTGTGTGTGTGCACGTGTGTGTGCACGTGTGTGTGTGCACGTGTGTGTGTACACGTGTGTCTGTGTGTGTACACGTGTGTGTGTGTGCACGTGTGTGTTTGCACATGTGTGTGCACGTGTGTGTGTGGACGTGTGTGTGTGTGTACACGTGTGTGTGTGTAACTCTTGTGTTGTACATGTCTCTGTGTATGTGTAACACTGTGTGTCTATGTCACCACCATCACCATCATCTCTACCTCCACCATCACCTACACCACCTCCACCGCCTCTACCACCACCTACACCACCTCCACAACCATCACCACCACCATTATCATCACCTCCACCACCATCACCTCCACCACCATCACCACCGCCTCCACCACCTCCACCATCACCACCACCATCATCATCACCTCCACCACCATCACCTCCACCACCAACACCTCCACCACCACCACCTCCACCACCTCCCACCATCACCTCCCACCATCACCTCCACCATCACCACCACCACCACCATCATCATCACCTCCACCACCATCACCACCACCACCACCAACACCTCCACCAACACCTCCACCACCTCCACCATCACCACCACCTCCATCATCATCACCTCCACCACCATCACCACCACCACCTCCATCATCACCACCACCATCACCACCTCCACCATCACCACCACCATCACCACCATCACCACCACCATCACCACCACCACCTCCACCATCACCTCCACCATCACCTCCACCATCACCACCACCACGACCACCACCACCATCACCACCACCATCACCACCTCCACCACCATCACCACCACCATCACCACCACCATCACCACCATCACCACCTCCACCACCACCATCACCACCACTACCATCACCTCCACCATCACCACCAACACCACCACCTCCACCATCACCACCTCCACCATCACCACCACCACCACCACCACCGCCACCTCCACCATCACCACCTCCACCACCATCACCACCTCCACCATCACCTCCACCATCACCTCCACCATCACCACCACCACCACCACCATCTTCTCTATGGGTCTGCTCCCTCCCCTCCCATCTCTGTGGCTTGTTGCCTGCTGTTGTGTCTCTGCTGTCTGTCTGCTGCTGTCTCTGCTGTCTGTCTGTCTGCTGTCTGTCTGCTGTATCTCTGCTGTATCTCTGCTGTCTATCTGCTGTATCTCTGCTGTCTGTCTGTCTGCTGTCTGTCTGTCTGCTGTCTCTCTGCTGTACCTCTGCTGTCTGTCTGCTGTATCTCTGCTGTCTGTCCGCCGTATGTCTGTCTGCTGCTGTCTCCTGCTGTCTGTCCGCTGCTGCCCGTCCGCCTGCTGTCCCTGTCCCCCCGTGCGTCCCCCTCAGAAGGAAGAAACGTTGTGCACGCTACATGGGCGGCGGCAGCGGCGGCGGCGGCGGCGGCGGCGGCCGCCGTGCCGGAGCCAGCGCCACGGACGACGGCCGCCCCCCCGGCTCCGACTACGACGACGAAGACGACGACGACGACGAGGACGAGGAGGAGGAGGAGGAGGAGGAGGAGGACGAGGAGGAGGTGGCGGAGGAGGTGGAGGACGCAGCACGGGCGGCGCCCGTCACAATGAGGATGATGATGATGGACGGTTGCAGCCGATCGCGGCAATCGCAACGCTCGCGACCCTCGCAACCCTCGCAACCCTCGCAACCCTCGCAACCCTCGCAACCCTCGCAACCGCCGCAACCGCCGCAACCGCCGCAACCGCCGCAACCGCCGCAACCGCCTCAACCGCCGCAACCGCCTCAACCGCCCCACCACCTCCGCCGCTCCCCGACTGCACCGGGGCCGCTGCCTCCGCCGGCGGTTCCCCAGGCCAGGATTTCCCAGCATGCACCGGGGCATGTCCAGGCGGCCGTGGCTGGGGCTTCCCAGAATGCCTTGCAACAGGGCCGTGCGCTGCCGCTGCTGCCCAAGATGGAGGTGAGGGCTCAGTGATAAAGAATTCCCATAGGGATCTGTGTTAAAGGTTCCCCATAGATTTCAATGTTAAAGGTTCCCCATAGACTTCAATGTTAAACGTTCCCCATAGACTTCAATGTTAAAGGTTCCCCATAGATTTCAATGTTAAAGTTTCCCATAGACTTCAATGTTAAAGTCTCCCCATAGACTTCAATGTTAAAGTTTCCCATAGACTTCAATGTTAAAGGTTCCCATAGACTTCAATGTGAAATCCTCCCATAGACTTCAATGTTAAAGTTTCCCATAGACTTCAATGTTAAAGTCTCCCATAGACTTCAATGTTAAAGTCTCCCCATAGACTTCAATGTTAAAGTTTCCCATAGACTTCAATGTTAAAGTCTCCCATAGACTTCAATGTTAATGTCTCCCCATAGATTTCAATGTTAAAGTTTCCCATAGACTTCAATGTTAAAGTCTCCCCATAGACTTCAATGTTAAAGTTTCCCATAGACTTCAATGTTAAAGGTTCCCATAGACTTCAATGTGAAATCCTCCCATAGACTTCAATGTTAAAGTTTCCCATAGACTTCAATGTTAAAGTCTCCCATAGACTTCAATGTTAAAGTCTCCCCATAGACTTCAATGTTAAAGTTTCCCATAGACTTCAATGTTAAAGTCTCCCATAGACTTCAATGTTAATGTCTCCCCATAGACTTCAATGTTAAAGTTTCCCATAGACTTCAATGTTAAAGTTTCCCATAGACTTCAATGTTAAAGGTTCCCATAGACTTCAATGTTAAAGGCTCCCATAGTCTTCAATGTTAAATCCTCCCATAGACTTCAATGATAAAGTCTCCATAGACTTCAATGTTAAAGTTTTCCCATAGACTTCAATGTTAAAGTTTCCCATAGACTTCAATGTTAAAGTCTCCCATAGACTTCAATGTTAAAGTTTCCCATAGACTTCAATGTTAAAGGCTTCCATAGACTTCAATGTTAAAGTCTCCCATAGACTTCAATGTTAAAGTTTCCCATAGACTTCAATGTTAAAGTCTCCCCATAGACTTCAATGTTAAAGTTTCCCCATAGACTTCAATGTTAAAGTTTCCCCATAGACTTCAATGTTAAAGTTTTCCCATAGACTTCAATGTTAAAGTTTTCCATAGACTTCAAAGTTAAAGGTTCCCATAGACTTCAATGTTACAGTCTCCCCATAGACTTCAATGTTAAAGTCTCCCATAGACTTCAATGTTAAAGGCTCCCATAGACTTCAATGTTAAAGTCTCCCCATAGACTTCAATGTTAAAGGCTCCCATAGACTTCAGTGTTAAATCCTCCCATAGACTTCAATGTTAAAGGTTCCCATAGACTTCAATGTTAAAGGTTCCCATAGACTTCAATGTTAAAGTCTCCCCATAGACTTCAATGTTAAAGGCTCCCATAGACTTCAGTGTTAAATCCTCCCATAGACTTCAATGTTAACGTTTCCCATAGACTTCAATGTTAAAGTCTCCCCATAGACTTCAATGTTAAATCCTCCCATAGACTTCAATGATAAAGGTTCCCATAGACTTCAATGTTAAAGTCTCCCCATAGACTTCAATGTTAGGCTCCCATAGACTTCAGTGTTAAATCCTCCCATAGACTTCAATGATAAAGTTTCCCTTAGACTTCAATGTTAAAGGCTCCCATAGACTTCAGTGTTAAATCCTCCCTTAAACTTCAATGTTAAAGTTTCCCATAGACTTCAATGTTAAAGTCTCTCATAGACTTCAATGTTAAAGTCTCCCCATAGACTTCAATGTTAAATCCTCCCATAGACTTCAATGTTAAAGTCTCCCCATAGACTTCAATGTTAAAGTCTCTCATAGACTTCAATGTTAAAGTCTCCCATGGACTTCAATGTTAAAGTCTCCCATAGACTTCAATATTAAAGTCTCCCCATAGACTTCAATGTTAAAGTCTGCCCATAGACTTCAATGTTAAAGTCTCCCCATAGACTTCAATGTTAAAGTTTCCCCATAGACTTCAATGTTAAAGTTTCCCCATAGACTTCAATGTTAAAGTTTTCCCATAGACTTCAATGTTAAAGTTTTCCATAGACTTCAATGTTAAAGGTTCCCATAGACTTCAATGTTACAGTCTCCCCATAGACTTCAATGTTAAAGTCTCCCATAGACTTCAATGTTAAAGGCTCCCATAGACTTCAATGTTAAAGTCTCCCCATAGACTTCAATGTTAAAGGCTCCCATAGACTTCAGTGTTAAATCCTCCCATAGACTTCAATGTTAAAGTTTCCCATAGACTTCAGTGTTAAGTCCTCCCTTAGACTTCAATGTTAAAGTTTCCCATAGACTTCAATGTTAAAGTCTCCCCATACACTTCAATGTTAAAGGCTCCCATAGACTTCAATGTTAAAGGTTCCCATAGACTTCAATGTTAAAGTCTCCCCATAGACTTCAATGTTAAAGTTTCCCCATAGACTTCAATGTTAAAGTTTTCCCATAGACTTCAATGTTAAAGTTTTCCATAGACTTCAAAGTTAAAGGTTCCCATAGACTTCAATGTTACAGTCTCCCCATAGACTTCAATGTTAAAGTCTCCCATAGACTTCAATGTTAAAGGCTCCCATAGACTTCAATGTTAAAGTCTCCCCATAGACTTCAATGTTAAAGGCTCCCATAGACTTCAGTGTTAAATCCTCCCATAGACTTCAATGTTAAAGGTTCCCATAGACTTCAATGTTAAAGGTTCCCATAGACTTCAATGTTAAAGTCTCCCCATAGACTTCAATGTTAAAGGCTCCCATAGACTTCAGTGTTAAATCCTCCCATAGACTTCAATGTTAACGTTTCCCATAGACTTCAATGTTAAAGTCTCCCCATAGACTTCAATGTTAAATCCTCCCATAGACTTCAATGTTAAAGGTTCCCATAGACTTCAATGTTAAAGTCTCCCCATAGACTTCAATGTTAGGCTCCCATAGACTTCAGTGTTAAATCCTCCCATAGACTTCAATGATAAAGTTTCCCTTAGACTTCAATGTTAAAGGCTCCCATAGACTTCAGTGTTAAATCCTCCCTTAAACTTCAATGTTAAAGTTTCCCATAGACTTCAATGTTAAAGTCTCTCATAGACTTCAATGTTAAAGTCTCCCCATAGACTTCAATGTTAAATCCTCCCATAGACTTCAATGTTAAAGTCTCCCCATAGACTTCAATGTTAAAGTCTCTCATAGACTTCAATGTTAAAGTCTCCCATGGACTTCAATGTTAAAGTCTCCCATAGACTTCAATATTAAAGTCTCCCCATAGACTTCAATGTTAAAGTCTGCCCATAGACTTCAATGTTAAAGTCTCCCCATAGACTTCAATGTTAAAGTTTCCCCATAGACTTCAATGTTAAAGTTTCCCCATAGACTTCAATGTTAAAGTTTTCCCATAGACTTCAATGTTAAAGTTTTCCATAGACTTCAATGTTAAAGGTTCCCATAGACTTCAATGTTACAGTCTCCCCATAGACTTCAATGTTAAAGTCTCCCATAGACTTCAATGTTAAAGGCTCCCATAGACTTCAATGTTAAAGTCTCCCCATAGACTTCAATGTTAAAGGCTCCCATAGACTTCAGTGTTAAATCCTCCCATAGACTTCAATGTTAAAGGTTCCCATAGACTTCAATGTTAAAGGTTCCCATAGACTTCAATGTTAAAGTCTCCCCATAGACTTCAATGTTAAAGGCTCCCATAGACTTCAGTGTTAAATCCTCCCATAGACTTCAATGTTAACGTTTCCCATAGACTTCAATGTTAAAGTCTCCCCATAGACTTCAATGTTAAATCCTCCCATAGACTTCAATGTTAAAGGTTCCCATAGACTTCAATGTTAAAGTCTCCCCATAGACTTCAATGTTAGGCTCCCATAGACTTCAGTGTTAAATCATCCCATAGACTTCAATGATAAAGTTTCCCTTAGACTTCAATGTTAAAGGCTCCCATAGACTTCAGTGTTAAATCCTCCCTTAGACTTCAATGTTAAAGTTTCCCATAGACTTCATTGTTAAAGTTTCTCATAGACTTCAATGTTAAAGTCTCCCCATAGACTTCAATGTTAAATCCTCCCATAGACTTCAATGTTAAAGTCTCCCCATAGACTTCAATGTTAAAGTCTCTCATAGACTTCAATGTTAAAGTCTCCCATGGACTTCAATGTTAAAGTCTCCCATAGACTTCAATATTAAAGTCTCCCCATAGACTTCAATGTTAAAGTCTGCCCATAGACTTCAATGTTAAATGGTTCCATAGACTTCAATGTTAAAGTATCCCATAGACTTCAATGTTAAATTTTCCCATAGACTTCAATGTTAAAGTCTCCCCATAGACTTCAATGTTACAGTCTCCCATAGCCTTCAATGTTAAAGCCTCCCATGGACTTGAATGTTAAAGTCTCCCATAGACTTCAATATTAAAGTCTCCCCATAGACTTCAATGTTAAAGTCTCCCCATAGACTTCAATGTTAAAGTCTTCCCATAGACTTCAATGTTAAAGGTTCCCATAGACTTCAATGTTAAAGTCTCCCCATAGACTTCATTGTTAAAGTCTCCCATAGACTTCAATGTTAAAGTCTCCCTTTGACTTCAATGTTAAAGTCTCCCCATAGACTTCAATGTTAAATCCTCCCATAGACTTCAATGTTAAAGTCTCCCATAGACTTCAATGTTAAATCCTCCCATAGACTGCAATGTTATAGGTTGCCATAGACTTCAATGTTAAAG